GGGTGCACTCAGACTCGCAGGAGAGGGCCTCGTTATCTTGGTGCGCCTGAGGGCCCCACAATGGCAGCCAGTGTACCAGCTTGGTCAGATTGAGTCAAACTGCCCGAAGTCAAACACCTGACGACCTCCCGAATCGCAGCAGCAACCCCTTCCTCCACACTGCGCCTCCGCTCCTCCAAGATGCCGCCACAACTACACGGTCCTCAAACTGCCGCAGCCAGACTAGCGTAGCAACCTTAGTCGAGTTGGCGAAATGCTCGCACCCCAACCCCCCTTGGTCGCGGTCACTCCAGCCAGTCTTTAGGCTCGCAACCAGGCAGACCTCTTCGTCGCCGCCCTGCCCAGCAAGGAGGCAGTCTGACGTCCCACAGACCATCCTCAACGAGGCCTTACTCTCCTTGGTTCTGACGAGTGGCGTGCCTGCCGCCAAGTAAGTTTGCTAGCTTACTGTCTCCGTCCTTGCAATGCGGATTTCGGCTGAGACCGCACGGCACACCTGCATATGCAGTCCCCAAGCAAGTCCCCGGCCACCGATCCTTCAGATGGCAAGCTTTCGCGGTCGATTTCGTTAAGAATCGATCGAGCTACATTCCCCCGACTTCGCCCGACTCTCTTCCCCGGCGTTTCCAACCTCCCCTTCTTTGTCTGTACACACTCGGCATGCACATTCAGTCCCCTGCCACTGCCGACGGCTCCTTGGTCCGCCTTGCTTCTCTTCCTTCGCACTCCGTCCCGTCACTACCTTCGCCCAACTCCCTCTCTCGCGGATGTACCTACTGCGACTGCCTGCCCAAACACATCCTTCCCCCGTTTCTCAGCGCGTACCTGGTCTTTTATCCGGCCGGGTTCGCACTACCTTGCGGCCAAATGCAGGCCGGTAGGCAAGCTCTCTCTTACCCTCGTTCGCCTTCTCTCTCTCTCTCCCTCTGCAGTTGACTTCACCCCCGACTGACCCTGCTGTATACTCCCTTCGTTCTGTTTGTTTTCGGTTGCATCTAGCGCAAACCCGCGTCTAGGTTCATTCGAGTTTCCTCCTCTCTATTCACCATTGCGCATGCCCTCCCCCTACTAACACCAAATCCACTAATAAGACCCCCTCTAATCTAACCTTACCGGCGAGGTCGCCCGGGGTAAAACCCCGAACTCCCTTCTTCGTTCACGTGGCTTGGTCACGGATCGAGCGGACTAGACCTCTTCCACCGCGCTTCGCTCACCTTCACCATAGTTTCCCGCACCCCCATCCTCTACTAACTCTCTCTATACTAACCCTCTTACAGATCCGGTTTCAGATTCGGGGTCGCAGGCCCCGAAAACCCCCGCTTGAAATCTTCCCTCGCCCGGATTCGTTAAGAATCGGGCGAGATAGCGCCTTCCTTGTCCACCCTGGCCATGCTCCCGCTACCGCGCTCTCCCCTCCGCATGCACCTTGTCCAGGCGCCTGTCCCGGTACACCCTTCGGTCGACCCCACCTCGTCTCAACCCCGTCGCTCCGCCCGGGCTGTACTCGGTACGCCAACCCGCCTAGGTCCACTCGTCATCTTCCCGTCTTCTCGCCCGCTTAGCGCTGCCCCCACCATCTCCAACCCCCGCACCTTCCCACGACTCCCGTCAGCACCGTGTCGCCCCGTAGTGCCGCTCAGCATCGATCAGTTCGGGCCGCGCCGTTGCTGAAACAAACAAACAGCAACTGGTGCCGACCCTCTCCATCTTATTTATGGGCGTCCTCCGTGCGCAGGGGCCGTGATAATCTTCTCTGTATCGTTCCAATTTTTAACGGATGTCCCGAAGGACCTCACACCGGCCGACACCCCCTTTCCTTCGTATGCATCCGGCGCAACCCACGTCCGGATTCGCTGCGGATTTTTACGCCCCGATCTTATACCGGTGTCCCAATAGATCGGACCGGGGCGATGCCCCGTGGCTGCGCCAAAAGTCGCTCGGACCGTTTACCCCTCTCACCACCTTGTGCCCACCCCTAACCCGGTTCGCGTCCGGGTTCACTCCCCGACTATGGCACATATCTTCCCTACCCACAGCAGTCAGGCGGATCTCCCCTGTATCGTCCGAAATCTTTCCCCCCCCTTTTTCCTTTACAAAAATCCCGAGGGCCTTCGACCATGACCACACCCCACAGCCCCTCGCCGCCTGCTGGAGGCTTTAGCGCCGCCGGTCTTAGATGCCGGGCGCAGATCCGGCCCTCTTTCGAGGCCGGGTTCGCGCCGGTACCCCCACCATACTCTACAGGCCGCATCCTATGACAAGCAACCCGGCCCGCTCCTCGTTTTAACGAGTACCCCAAAGGTCCTAGGCGCAACCATTCCCCATCCGCGGTTCTCCGAATCTTGGACGATCGGCTCCGGCACCCCGCTCCAAATCAAATGGGTCCGTAAACAACAATAAAAACAACAAATAGAAATAAAATAAAGTAACATATATATATATATATAAATCCTAAACACGGAGCGAAACCTCCGGCACCCTACCGGTCCCGTGGGCCGGGCCCATAGTCGCACCTCCCAACAAAACCAAGGGGGGATAGCCCCATCAGGCCCTCAACCCCCTCAGCTCTCCTTGACGCTCCGCCGCTGCTGCGTCGACGCCCGTCGGGCTCGATCCCTACACCTCCATGGCGATGGTCCGACACCGTAACCTATAGGGCTAAGCCCAAGCCTGAGGCCACTCGACGCGGACATTATTATGAGGTGATGCCGCGCGGCGCCCAGGCCTGAAAAAACAGCCTAGGCCTTCTTTAACCGCCTGCAGCCGGCGTGCCAACACCTGGCACCCGCACCGGCCTACTTAGACCCCGTCGCGGCCAACCCGCGCGCCAGCCCTACTGTCGGCCGCGCATGCCGACCAAAAACAAACCTTGGTCCCCCTAATCAAACCCATAGCACGGTCCAGGTCGGTTGACTAGACCGGCCGCTCACTCAATCAAGAAAATCACACGCGCGCCTAAAAATTGCGAGCCCACATACCCTTTAACTTAGTCAGGGCGGGTCCTGGGCGAGGCCGTACCTCGCCCGGCTTATGCCGACCAAACCCATTTTTTTGTCATTTGCAAAAACCAGGGCGGATACCCTTGTAAGGGTATTCGCGCCGACAGCCTACCAGACTATATTAAGCGACGTCCCCGTCGCTACGCCAAATCAGAAGGCTACAAACTCATTCACACTCCAAATGCTGACGAGAGCGGAACCAATTCCGATTAGCCGACAGATTGAGGGTCGAGGCCTCCAACACTCCATGCCGACATAACTATATGCTGGCAGGGTTTCAACCTGGGTTTCCGTTGTCCTGACACTAGGACGCAAGTGTATTACGCATCAATACTACAACATAAGTTCCAAAGGCCACCTCAAACCGTCCTTTCCCCTTCGTCCTAGACAAACGTCGGCTTTTCGTTGGGTGTCTCTGTTAGACTCTCTCTTACAAGCAGAGTCATACGGGGACGCGGACCTTAGACGAGACCTCAGAAGGCACTCTCGCCTCCCTCGCGAAAATCCTCACAATCAAACATATATATATATATATATATATATCGTCAAATAGAACTGCTCGGTAAACTGTAGGCAGAGAGGGGGAAGAGGACAACAAACGAGGGGCTGTGACAAACTGTTTCGTCGGAGTTTCACCGACTCATCAGGAGGCTGAACCCTTGAAAGAAAAGAATAAATCGAAAAATAGCTGCAACTCCAAAACTAGGCGCAAAAAACCAACCAGATTGACCTAGGGGATAAATTAAAAAGACTGAAACAAAAACAGAAATAGGGCCAGAGAATGCAATATATATATATGTATATATATATATATATACGTAAACCTCCTCTCAGCTCTTTCTGCAGTCTAGTACAAAAACGCCAGGTCTTCATCCTGGCCCACCATAGTCTGGTTGATCGAGCCAGATCTACGACCTACCGCATTGTTATCTTAGCGGAAGTCCCTTCGTTGGTTATGCAACGATAGGTTTTCTCCTGATAGGCATTCAATTAGGGCGCCCAAACGACTCGACCGTATCCCCCGCCATCCTACCGGAGTAATTTCCCCGAGGCGTGCATAACCCGTTAAACTCTTACCCCGCTGGTAGACGTGGGCCCGCAGCCAGGTTGTGCTGACTTGCAGCTATCCAATTAGGGGTTGCGCCCTAGAGGTGCTAACCTTTACCGTTTAGCTTAATATTCCTCAATATGCCTTAGGGTTAGCACAAGTGTCTAGACGGTGCATCGCAGAACAGACCACAGACCCACCGCGGGACTACGCAGGGGTCTGTCTTACTTTAAAGACGTTCACCAGCTCCCTATGGGATACATAGGAGGCGTGGCCTCCTTTTCACAATCACAAACAGATTCACCGCTAGGCTCACACCAGGCCGTGGCCTACTTGACTTGATCAGAGGTAGCAGACCATATATCCCATGACATTTTTATGCAATGACTTGCGACCTTCTTGGTTCCACCAATGGTTTCAACTTGTAACCCTGGTTCCTCTCGTCAGACTTTATCACTCAAATATTGCTTACCATCTCATTAAATCCATTAGCCACTTTTCACATGAAGGGGGTCTCTCTTAATAGGTCTCCCAGTCATCCCTCTCTTCTCATAGGATGGACTATCACGCGACCTCGGTTATATAACCGTCAATAACCAACATTCCCACCTTCCATAATCTGAGGGGGGCCTCCACCATAGAGCAACTCACTGAAGGCCTACTTAAGGGTCCTCTTTGTCAACTTATATGCAAAACAACTTGAACTGGGGGACCAACTTATGAGTCCCTTTTACAACTTAGCCATAAACATGTGGAATGGTAAGCATTCGAGTCTTATAGGCTCGCAAGACCCCTTAGGGTCCTCACACATTTGTCACCAAACAGCCGCGCTGCCTCCCCTTATACTCGGTCATTTCACCCGCCCATGGGCAGGCCGCACGAGTATACAGAAGAGTAGACGACAATCACAATCACACAATACACATACATGAGATGTATCCCACACATCTCTCACACAAAGCCCTCATTCATTGGGATAAAGCCACACATGTGAGAGTGATCGTGATTGTCATAAGAGCAAATCCCACAGAGGGTGGAATCAAAATATACTCGGGAGCAAAATATCTCCCTCAAGTCTCAATACAACACTCAACTCAAGCTCCCACACACACAATTCCTAGGATATACCTAGGAATAGGATGCCCGCCTCAGTGAACAACTCAACACTCAGTTCCCTGTACACTCTACATGGTGGACTCACACCCCAGATGTTATGGCTCTCAGGATCCAATCAGAAATGTAAAGAAGGTTTCCAAACCTCCAAACCTAATGTACAAATCACACAGTCACATGTATCTCACAACTGAATCTCACCCGCTGAATTGTATCACACACAAAACCCAATGACCGATTGAGCCCTGCCACCTATGTATGTACAACTAGACAGGACTCCCACGGCGAACTCAGACGTGCACACCCCTTAGGACCCACTCAACCGACTCAGAGTACGTACGTCCCTAACCCGACCTCTGGGTACAGAGGAACTCTAGTCCTACTGTCATATAGACAGGCCAACCCCTACTCACTCATGGCCTCCTGGTTCTGCCTATGCAATTGTGCCCTACCCCCATCTGGAGCCCGCTCTACCACTCGCCCCTGTCTGTTGTACATCCTCCCACCACTCTCTGTCACTCTCCCAGCTGCCTTGTCCTTAAGGAATTTCGGGCATTCAAGAGCCCTATGTACGCCGTCCGTGCAGAAGAAGCACTGATCGTCTGATCTCCCCCGACACCTCCTCTTCTTCTTCTGGGACCCAGGCAACGGCGGCGTCTCGCTAGTTTCCCTGCTCATCTCGTGGCTCTGGGGCATACTCCATGACTCTGTCGGCCCTGCGTCCATCCTCTGGGTACTCGGCCCTGCTAGCATCTCATCTCCCTCGGGTCGGTACGCTGGAGTGTCTAATCTCAGTGGCCTACCCTCGCGGACTCCTCCCATCGCAGTCGCCCCCTCGTCCCTATGCAGGTCAGAAGGCTGGGGAGTCACGGCAGTCGCTGCCTCGCTCATAACTTCCTGCTGCTGCTCCGAGATGTGCTCTCCTGAGTCAGCTCCACTAGCCCAAGAGCCTAACTGCGTCCTCAACCCCCCCATCTCTGGCACACGCTCTGGGGTCTTCTGTCTCTGAGGCTCTCTTGACGGCATGTCCAACTCCATAGCTGTCACTAACTCATCCAGTCGAGACGCCTCTCCCCCCATTGCCTCCGGCTCAGTGGATGCTGCTGCTCCCGTAAGGGCACCCTCCTGCACCTCCAAAAGGATCGTAGGGGACTCCTCTGTGGGGCCCCCTTCCTTCACTGGAGGTTGGGGTCGCTGCGCCGGCTCGCCCTCAGGGATCTCAATCGTCATAGGGGTGGCCTGTTGCGAGGCCAACTCCGTGGGCGTTGTCGGACCAAATACCGTTACAAGGGTATTTGGCCATGCTTTTGCACTTGACATAACGACGACGTCGGCTACCATGACGAAACCAGTCTGGGATGAAAAGGGTGTGCACGCTTTGGCGTCACACTTGAAACGATTTCCTCGACCATTGAAGCCGGGGCGAATCGGTGAGAAAAATTTCGAGTGTATGCGCGCGTGTTGTTAAACCGCGCGCTGTGATGGTTAGGATTAGTAGTAATACCTCCGACCGAGAAGGTCGAAGGGATGATTGGGTTAGTAATGTGTCAGGTAGATCTACGGCACACACTGAGACTTGGCCTGGTACCTGTCTACCTACTGGTACCAGGTGTTTTAAAACTGTCAGATTTTATCGTCTTCTGCTCGACATCGAGTACTCGGTGCATCTATCTCTACTTGGAGTGGTACCGGCCTACCCGCCACTCGAGTGTTTTTCCCGCCGCGACCCTCAATGTCGCTGCCACAACTAAGTACCGGCCCTTCGGGCCTTCCAATTAACTAAGCACCCTGGCGGGTTGCACACACATTCAAGCCGACACGTACTCGGGCAGGCATGTAAACCACCAGGCGTGCACACACGCATACTTAGAAAACGGGCTCAGGCCACTAGGCGGTCTGAGCCCCACTCCTATGCATATAGAAGAGCAGCTCCTCTTCTACTTGAAGTAGGAGCTAACTCAGTAGGTTTCGGGGCAAACTGTCAAGCTGGAGACGCAGGGATCGAATCTGTTTTTTTTACAAGGAGCTTTACTTCCGTTTTCACCCGCGGATGACTGGCGGGGATTTGAACCCATGACCTCAAGATCATAGGTTAGTTAGAGTTAGTTGTTGTAGTTGGCCTCGTTTGAAAACGAGGGCATGACAAATGGCAAGACAGGGTAGTAGTTAGAAAGTTAGATTTTTATTTTGTCATATTCAAATTTTTGATTATTATTATTATTATTATTATTATTATTATTATTATTATTATTATTATTATTATTATTTTTATTACGATTTTCCAGTTTTCTTTTGTTTGTTTGTTTTGTTTTTTTTCTTTCCCTCCATTCTCGTATGAAAGTATGTCGAATTTAGCACTAGAACCGGGGTAGATTCATTCCCCGGGACTTTTCGACATTCACTGGCCGACAGTATGCCGGGAAGAGGGACGGGGTGCTCGCCGCGAGGGCGACGACTACAGGGGAGACCATTGTGAACGACCACGGGGAAGTTTGAGTGGTGCACGAGAGGAGGACCCCGTCAGGAAGAAAAGGAAATGATGCACGTGGAAGGGAGATGTGCACGACGATGGAGGAAACGGGGAGGAACGCGTGGAGAACAACGGAGGGAACGCGCAGATAACAACAGAGGAAATGCGCGCGGACAACAAAGCATGTGGGACAGAGATGGGAAAACGCAGATGAAGATGAAAACAGCGCATGCAGAGGAGAAATAAAATAAGAAGAAGAAAAAGAAGAGAGAAGGAGAAGAAGAAGGAGAAGAAGAAGGGGAAGAAGAAGGAGAAGAAGAAACAACAGAAAAAATGTGGCAATTTTTTTGCCACGTTGAACCTATGTTGACACCACATTTCAACTGTTTATAAACCGTTGGCCGGGGGGGGGGGCATGTGTTCAACACAAACTGAAGGAAACCAACACTGACCGTATATTGGGGACACTGAAACTTGTGTGTTCAACTGTTGGATCAACTGTTGACAGACAGTTGGTCCAACTGTTGATCCATTGTTGGTAGCTTGTTGAAATCTTGTTGAAGAGTTGTTGAAATGTT